ATTTGTCAATAAAAATTTTTTTTTAAGGTAATGAAATACATGATCATGCATTTTTTCTCTAAAATTTTCTTATTGTCATTTTGCAAATTATTATAATCACCATTTAATAATCTATACAGGGTGAATATAAAGTATGGAACCAAGCGGTTTTATTTTTAATCATTTGCCTCCAGAAAATAATAATTAATATAAATTAAAGTAATATAAAAAATGTGATCGTACCTTCAGAACGAAATTTTGTTTTGTTTTGAGTTATGCGATTTTTTTTGTCAAAATTGCAATTTATCTGAAAAATTTTTTTTTGAAAAAATTATATATAAAGCAGATAGTTGTAATCCTTAGAGTATAGCTTTTATGAGAAAAATGATTTTATAGTGGGTTGCCATTTAAAAAAATATTTTTTTTTGTAGAACTCAAAAACAAAAAGAAATTTCGAAAAATTTTATTCTTGTTAAATCATCACATTTTTATAGTACTTTATCACTCATCAATTAGTTTTTTCAAAAAATAAATAGTTTAAGCAAAAAACGTTTGGTTCCATACTTTTTATTCGCCTGGTATATACTCATTGAAGAAATTTTCAGAAAAGACCGTTTTGAAGAAACGTATATCCTCGAGTCCGAACCAACTTCCTAAATAAGGGTCTTTCGACATATTACCTGCTCCCCAACTAGTTAGTCGGAAACACTGTTGCAACAAAGCGCAGTGTGAGCAGAAAGTTAGACTGGTGAATAGTTTTTTCCCCGGGTGTACATAGTTAGAGTAGACTAAAAGCCAAAAGTACACACCTGAACGAGGCCTAATTGCGCAAGGGAACCAGTGACGAAACAAAATCATTTTATACCATTGAATATGTGTTATTTTGGCACTCGGTCCAATATTGCGATAATAAAGCGAATCTGCACGCCACTGCTTCCAAAAACTCCCCACTTTTTCAACGTAAACTGTAAACTCGTTTCCAAGACGCGATTTCGTCATCTACGTATACTTTTGCCCAAGTGTGTATTTTTGGATTTTACCCCACTCTAACAGTAAAAATTTAAAAATTTTAAATATCGGCTAAAATATTTTTCAAGTTTCAACCCTCATTTAATTTAACTTTTTTTTAATAGCACGAGGAGTCAAATTTATTGTAGAAGAAGAGTGTTTTTTCTTTAAATCAGTACTAGGATAAAAAAAATTGTTCTTTCATTCATTTGTTTCTAAAAATTGCAAAAACAGGTCTAAAGAAAACATGCCTCTTTGGTCAAAAATTCGTAATAAAACAATGTGCAAAACTTCTACTAAAAAATGTTAGTGTTTGAATTAAATGCATTCTGATATTATTTATGATAAACGTCAAACTCATGACCCAGAGTGGTGATTAATTTGCAAGAAAAAAACCTAAAACATTAAGAACTAAACCACCGAGAACCACTCCTAGCGTTTGTTATAAATCCAGAGCCGGAATAAACAAAACCGATACTAAAAAAAAATTATTAAAAGATTCTGCCATAATTCATGAGAAATGAGAAAAATGAATTAATCTGAGGAGCAGACTTTCAAAATGCAGTTTGTCCATGTTTTTATGAATTGAGAGAGAAAGGTTTTTCAAGTTTTTTTGTAAAATGCCTAAGTACTCCAGCCGTAAAATTAGTGTCCAATTGTGTTTAATGTGTACATATTTTTTCACATTTATTGTCATTGATACAAAAAATTAAAATCATTTCTTAAAAGAAGACAATTTTTGTTTTCTCCTGCAAAAATGCAAATTTGGACAAACTGCTTTTTGAAAGTCTGCTCCTCATATCATAACTACCTACTGATCAAAAATAAACGATATATTTCCACAAAACTTAATTTAACTTTTTGAAGCATTATATCAAAATACACTACAAGGCAAAAAATCACTGACGTTAATTATAATTTATAAAAAAAGTGAAAAAACCGTACAACTAAATAATTATGTACTTAATTTTTTTTATAATTTTTCATATAATCCAGTTCTTTTGAGGGTGCTGGTAGAAAAAATATTTTTACAAAACAGTTACAAAATTTAGAAACCAAATTACACCACAAAATATTTTTAGTACAATGATGTAGTGTGGGAAAAAAGAAATTCTTTTCTTTTTTCTTAGTTCTTTTTTATACTTCATAATTAACAAACAAGTCAGTTGTTTCTTTTTTGAAAATAACAATGTTGTGTTGGTGAAGAAATAAAGTAAACACGTTATAAACATCAGTTTTGCGCAAAAAAGTAAAATCCCGATCTATTATTTTTTTATTACTCTCTTCTTAATAAAATAAATAAGTTTGTTGTTTATTTTGGTTTAGGAAAATACGAAATTTGCCTTGGTTACGCAGATCTAGACCATTTTTTCGC